ATGTTTCAATATTAGCAAATAATTTTCTTGAATATTTATTTAATGGAATTGGATTAAAATGAAATCGTTCCATATTTCCTTGAAATCTTTTAATTCCTATTTCTAAATTAATAAAATCATTAAAATCATTAAAATACATTGATGTTATCATTATTTCATTATATCCTAATTTCATTCTTGATTTATTATTTATTAGTTGTTTTTATTAGTTCTTTTATTTTTTTATTTTAATTTCTTCTTTTTTATTCTTTATCATCATTCTATTTTTATTAATTGATATTTGTTATGAAAAACATTAAATAATAAGAAATAAAATAAAGTTATTTATTTTTATTTTTAATAAATTATAATTATTAAATATTTCATTTTATTTTATATTTTATTCATCATTGATTCGAAGATATCACGTCAGAGACAACACACACAACACTAAAATATTTACATCCTTCGATTCCCCCAGTTATGGTCTAGTTATGACGTTGTGTTTGGTTAGAAAAACATCTTAATCAATATTGTAAGAATAACAATGATTATTAATTACAATGATAGATATCATTGATAATAAAAGAATGGGTATTTATAAAGATGTTATTATTACTTATATGATACAAATATATTTGATAATATAAGATTATCAAAGAAAAAGGGTTTAGTGGTTGAGGCTAAAAAGAATATTAGCCCAAAGCAATATAGTAGTAATTATATACTCTCCTTAAAATAAGAAAATAAAGAAGAATTTTAATACTCATCAAAATCAAATAGAAATTAAATAATGAATATTTAAATAATTGATGTTTAAAATACTTTATTTCATATCAAATAAAAGATAAAATGAAATTATCATAATTCAACAACTAAAATCAAAGAATGACTAATAAATAATGAAAATACAATGTTAAAACAAATAATCTACATTGAATAATGAATAATATAAATTAAAATTATTAACATTTAATTATCTACTTTTTGTTTGTTTTGATTTGATTATTATTATTTAAATTATCAATATTAATGAAAAATTAAAGGAATGACAAACAATTGAAGAATCATATTTTTGATGAAAGAACAGTAGAAATGGTAATAAAACAATTCTATATACAATCAAAAACAATTATGGTAAATTATTCAAATTAGAAAATAATTTGCCATAATTGTTTTTTGATTATTTTTGTTCAAAAAATTTTATATAATATAAATAATTTTTTAATATTTCTTCATATTTACAAGAATTATTGAAAAATCTAATGAATATTCACTTCAGTTGTTCGAAGATAGAATAATTTGAAAAGAGAATACTTGATAGATTTTTATTAGTGCAAAATATGATATGATGATAAATAATGGATTTAGATTTATGTTAGTTTAAAAAATATAATAAATTTTAACAT